TCTCTGCCCCTCCCCTGCTTCCTCTCTGTCTCTCTCTCTCTCAAAAATAAATAAATATTTAAAAAATTTAAAAATAAATAGTTAAACTTAATTAGTAGGTATAATTTTATAACTTGCTCTTATTCTCCATTAAATCACAAGCACTTTCCAAGGAAGAGTGCCTTCTTTCTTGTTTACTACCGTGTGAGGCACAGTTTTGAAACTTGAGCAGCTTTCCATCTCTTTAGGCCTCAGATGGCCCACCTGTCAAAGGGACATTTATTTTCAACGTTATCATGAGAATGAAACGAGACCAGTGTAAAGCACTCGGCATAACAGCTGACACACAGGCTCAAAACAAACTTTTACTCATAAAAGTTTGAACTAAAAGACATTTATTTTCCTAGGCCATAAAATGGTGAATGTTTAAAACCTGCAGTCAACTATGGGGCACCTGGGTGGCTCAGTTAGTTAAGCATCCAACTCTTGATTTCAACTCAGGTCATAATCTCACAGTCCATAGGATTGAGCCCTGCATCAGGGGCTCTGTGCTCAAAACTAACTAACTAACTAACTAACTAACTAACTAACTAACTAACTAACTAACTAACTGAATAAATAAGTAAGTAAGTAAGTAAGTAAGCAAAGAAAGAAAGAAAGAAAGAAAGAAAGAAAGAAAGCAAGAAAGCAAGCAAGCTTTCTGTCAACTACCAAGATTATTTTCATTCCCATTAGCTGTATGAGAATGTGAGAGATGCATAGATGCGTATGTTTACCATTTGCCTGCTAGGTAATGGCCTCTCAATATTACCTTATCACAAATATCCTGAATCTGACAAGTTAAGATTGTTTTCATGTTCATTGGCCATTTATGTTTTCTCTTCGAAGACTTAACTTCATTGTTCTTCACTTATTTCTGCACTTGGGGTGTGGGAGTTCTGTTTTGTTTTTTTTTTTTAGTTGGTCTTAAGGTCTTTATTGTTATGTTTCAAATACTTTTTTCCCAGTTTGGGGTAAACCTTTTTTTATAATGGTGTTTATTAACTTAGAAGTTTTATTTTTTTAAACTTTTAAGTAGTACTGTTAGGCTTAGTCTTTCCATTCCAGCATCAGTTAAGTACTATTAATTTTCTTAATTCTGTTGTTTTCGTTGTCCCTTTTTATTTAATTTTTTTTCCTTTCAGTCCATCTGAAATTTATTTTAGTGCAAGGTGTTAACTTGTGTTTTCTTCTCACAAATAGCCAATTTTCCCTCCATTTCAGCCCTCCCTTCTCTACTGGCTCATGACATTTCCTGTAGCCTCAGTTCTCACGGCATACTAGAGTTATGTTGCAGAACTGATTCTGTCCCACAGATCTGTCAGTTGTTTACAAAACAATCTTCCCATCCAGAAACATGGCATTTTCATCAATTTGTGCTAAAAATGTAAAAGTCCGTAAAGTTACAGTTTTCATTTACTCAGTAAGTATTTATTAGGGAGCATCTTAGACAGTGCTTGGTATAGTTGTAAATATTTTTATAGCTACTGAAAACAGAATCCCTCCTCCAAACACACCCCTCATATCTTTTCTAAGTAGCTACTGTCAATTTATAGGAAAATATCTTGTATATATTTTATATAAAGCACTTTGTATGAATTCTTCTTCATTCTAAGAAATCTTTTACTTGGTATTCTTAAGCTCTGCAGGTAGTCTGTCCTGTCGATTGGAAATAAGGAGAACCTTGTTTCATTCATTTTTCTCTATTATTTGTCTCCTGCTATTTTGGGTTTCCTTTTTCTTTTTTAGTAAAGCATTTAATGCTATGAAGTTACTTCTAATTATCATTTTGGCCGCACTTTCTAAATTTTGAACCATATTTGTTCATTGTCATTATTTTTGCATGAAGCCTTTTTAATAGCAGTTTTGAGACCTTTTTAACTCACCAGTCATTTAGAGAAACTATATTTTATATTTCAGGCATTTGAGGTTCTTATTTATTTATTTACTTTGAAAGAGAGACAGGAGACAGAGAGAGAGACAGAGCACGCACACATGAAGGAGAAGGACAGAAGGAATCTTTTTTTTTTATGTTCATTTTTGAGAGAGAGCAAGCAAGCAAGGGAGGGGCAGAGACAGAGGGAGACAGAAGATCCAAAGTGGGCTCTGAGTTGACAGCAGAGAGTCTGATGCAGTGCTTGAACTCACGGACCATGAAATCATGACCTGAGCTGAAGTCAGATGCTTAATTGACTGAGCCACCCAGGAGCCTCAGGAGAGAGAGAATCTTAAGCAGGCTCCACACTCAGCAAGGATCCTAGTACGGGACTCTATCCCACAACCCTGGAATCATGACCTGAGCCAAAATCAAGAGTCGGACACTCAACCAACTGAGCCACCCAAGTGCCCCTTATATTTTATTATTAAATTACTAGGAATATTGCGGTGTGGTCAGCTACAGTGCTATATATAATTTTAACATTAAGAAATTTATTCCGATTTTTTTTTTTTTTTTGTAGATTATAGGCTGAATTTCTACTACTCTTCTCTGGATAAGGAATCACTTCATTAGTGAATATTTTCCTGTCATAATGTGGATAATGAGCCTCCTGTATAATAAAAATCACAGTCTGCTAATGCTCCTTACCTTCCCAGTAGTTAAATGAGACTCCCTGTTGTCCCTTGCTGGACCTCCCAGCTGCTAGCTGCTTATACAATTCCTTCACAGCTACCTGTCCCTGTGTTCCCATGTGTCCTACCAGTAGGCTGTGATTTCCCCCCCACAGCACTGAAGTGGATTCACAGCCCCTTGCCTCCAGGCTAATGAGCACATCTGTATTCTTAAACTCCAGTCCCTTCCAGTCTACCTTTTCCTATTGACAGTTATTTTTCAATAAACCAATTAATCATAAAACATACGATCAGGACAGGGGGAGAGACCCAGTATCTGGGACCCACGGGATCCCTAAACTGTTTCCAATTCAAACCAATCAGATGGTTTTTACCTGAGTAAAAATGTTATTTTACATAGTAACATTTCCTTATTTGGACTTAAGACATCTCAACACTGGTTTTTAAATATAAATATTAAATAGAATAACTTTAACCTAGAATAGAATAACGCACATATTTTTCCATTGCATTCTTATTACAGCTTAATTTACAATTTCATGCTTTTCATTTCATCAATATATACCAGAAAACAAATTATGAGGAAAGCAAATTACACCTCACACTTAGAACTTACTGAAGTTTGAAAGAATTTACCAGGAAAATGTTGACTCTGAACTTTTAAACTTGGTTTTACTTTTTATTAGGCCGAAAAGTTATTATCGGTTTATTTTTAAAATTCAACAAAAGTCAGTAGTGTGGTTAAATTTTAAACACCTGCAATAACATACAAAAATTGCTAAACCTGCATATTTATGCCCATCAATTCCTACAGAAACACAAACTGTCTGTGATCTGAAATTATGAGAGACTTACCCTCTCTCTAGCCCTGACAGTTTTTTAGGCAAAGTTGGGGATTTATAATCAAGATTATAGAATTCTTGTGCTAGCTCCATCACAGGGCCAGGGATTAGGACCAATAATAAGCTTTTTTGATCACCTATTAACATGTAAACATATCTGCCATTCAGAAACAGCCTATTACTAAAAACTGCAAAACCTGTACAACTCCAAGCCTAGAATGTCTAAGGCAATTGAAGAAAACAAAATTTAGAATCCAAGAAAACTTAAAGAATCCAAGAAAAATTAAAGAAAGACTAAACTGCTAGGCTTACTAAGAATTTTAAGGAAGTCATTTTTTTTTTTTTAATTTTTTTTTCAACGTTTTTTATTTATTTTTGGGACAGAGAGAGACACAGCATGAACGGGGGAGGGGCAGAGAGAGAGAGGGAGACACAGAATCGGAAACAGGCTCCAGGCTCTGAGCCATCAGCCCAGAGCCTGACGCGGGGCTCGAACTCACAGACCGTGAGATCGTGACCTGGCTGAAGTCTGACGCTTAACCGACTGCGCCACCCAGGCGCCCCAAGGAAGTCATTTTTTAAAAGAAATTAATTACAATATCTACTATGAAAAGATGCTTATTTTCTTGCATAAGATGTAACCATTGGAGAAACTGGGTGAAAAGTACATGGACTTCTCTGTACTATCTTTGCAACTTCCTATAAACCTATAGTTATCCCAAAATAAAAAGATTATTTAAAAGGACCTGCAAAAAAGAGAACTACTGCTAGAGATAATAACATGAAAAAATCTCAAAAACGTCCTGTTAAGTGGAAGAAGCCGGACACAAAAGGCATGCATTATACAATCCCATTTATAAGAAATTTCTAGAAAATGACATAGTATAGCAAGAGAAAGCAATTATACCTACCTCAGGCTGAGGCTAAGAGGCGGGAGTAAGGGTTAACTGGAAATGGGCACAAAGGAACTTTTTTTCAAGTAAGTCTTCTAAAACAGGTCTGTAGTGACAGTTAACAAATTTACTAACACTATACACTGAAAATTAGTGAATGTTATGGTGTGAAATTTATACCTCAATAAAGCTATAGAAGAAAAGGTTAATGGTAGAATCTAGGTGATAGGTATATGGGTGTTAACATAAAATTCCTTTAACTCTGCTGTGTGTTTGAAAATATCGTAATAAAATGTTGAGAAAAATTAAAGTTTCTGTGAGAAACAGAATTAGAAATGAAAAAAATTGTACTTCCCCTGGCAGCTCACAGTTCAAGAAAGATTTTAATAAAAAGGAAGTCAATAGCGTCCATTCAGTGGTGTGACCCCACATCCCACATATCCCACGGTGAAGCCCTTGTTTCGCCATGTGTTGTGAATAAAGGGGCCTTGGAATGCCAATCCCTGATCAAAGCTGTCTGTCTGGACACTGTTCCAAAACTCTGTATGCTGCTGCTGAGGGCGGCTGGTTATTTATTCAGGCACAGAATGGAAACCCAAGCACAAACATCATACATGTTTTAATTACCACATGGAGAAAATTCAGGTTTCAGCTTTCTGCAAATTATAGTGTTAGCAACATCAAAGTAACCAAGAAACAAAAAACCTCACTCAGAGTTTTTACAGAAGAATCACAAATTTCTCCTTCTCCCCAAAACTTCTGAGTTTCTTTAAAATGAAAAAAATTCAGGGGCGCCTGGGTGGCTCAGTCGGTTGGGCATCCAACTTGGCTCAGGTCGTGATCTCACTGTTGGTGAGTTCCAGTCCTGCGTTGGGCTCTGTGCTAACAGCTCGGAGCCTGGAGCCTGCTTCAGACTCTGTGTCTCCCTTTCTCTCTGCCCATCCCCCACCACTCACACTTTGTCTCTCTCTCAAAAATAAATAAACATTAAAAAAATTTTTTTCTAATGAAAACAATTCAAATGTAGCTATGCACATGTTAACATCTTCTTCTACACACCTTTAATTAGAATCAAATTCACTGATACCTAAGTATCTCATTAAACAATCAGCAAGAAATATTACACACTTAAGCAGAAAAACAGAAATGCTAAAATCATAAAGAGTAATGCATTTGTGCAAAGAGAATATCTTTTGCATTTATATATCTAAGATTCCTATTTTTATTACTAATACTAAATTTACATATATCCCAATTTCAAAGAGCAAAGTAGTCTAAGGCCCTAAAAAAAGTGTTTAAATCTCCACAGATGTAGTATCCAAAGTGGAATAGATACTGTCATAGGATATTCATTTTTATTTTTTTAATAGGTAAATTTTATACGAAAGGTGTACCTCCCTTACAAACTTTCAAAGGTAATATGTACATTTTGTCATACTTATTAGAAACTATAAGTGTGCAAATAAAATATGTCAATAAACTATTGTCAAAATGTCAAAAACTATTAGAATTGAACTGGATGTTTTAAAAAAAAAAAACTGGATGCTTCTAAATTTGTTATTTTTCTAATTCCCTAACTATCCTTAATAAAAGAAGAGGACATCATATTTACCATGTACCCCACGGCACCGGCAGGAGGAAGAGAAGTGATGAATGGATAGCCAGCAGAGGCCCTTTCAACCCCTCAAGATGGGACTGAGGCAAAGAATGACAAGTGTTTTATCTATTACTCACCATGAAGTCGTAAAATAATTACAATGATTAGTAAACTTGATGAGTTCCGTAAGTGCTAACAAATGACCCAGAAGATACAGATTAGTGTGCTCCACCACAACTATGATTAGATAATCATGAGAACAAAGTCAAGACTTACTTTTGTGCTGGCCACGCCAATCTCGGGCCCGGCATTTATGTGAACTCCACAGTCTGTCTCCCTTGATATGGAACTGCCCACCGTGTTTGTGATCCCCACAGTTAAAGCTCCTCTCTCCTTACAGTACCGAAGACCCATCAGGGTGTCTGCTGTCTCACCTGTGTAAGAAGGAAGACAAAAGTAACACACAGAGCAATCAGCAGACCCTGTTTCTTAGATGCAAAAACAAAAAACTGACTATACTTTCAAGAATATCATTTAAGTAAAATTTAAAACATGCACTTAAAATAATAAGTTTGCCAAACTTTGAATAAAAGCTTCCTACTTTTTAGGATCTCCTTTCCCACTTTGTCTTTGAAAATTCAGCTCCTTGAGAGTAAAATGTGTTAATTTTACAAATTCATAAACAATTATGTAATATCAAAATAAATCTGGACTTGTCAAGTCATCTGTAATATCTATTTATCTTCAAATAGCAGTTTCTGCCAAGATATGCTATGATCATGCGCAAGAATGACTTTCCTTTCCTTCAAGTTTTTAAAATTAGCATACCTGACTGACTAATGAAAAAGCAAACATCATCTCGAAAAACTGGTGTGTTTCTATCCAGGAAATCACTGGCAAGCTCCACCATAACAGGCAACTCAGTCAGCTCTTCGAGAACTTGACGTGTCTGCAAGGAAAAGATGACCTGGTCATATGACCTTACTTCAAATACTCTTGCTCACTGGACTTCCTTGGATTCAATGCATACTTCTCATAAAAATGATACAACAAGCATTGTTAGAAAATACAAATACAGACTATCCCACTGGCCAGCATACAAGCACTGTTAACATTTAGTACAAGTCTCTTTAGACAGTTAGCAATGCATATATTCTTATAAGCAAACACACCCACACATACAAAATGTTTTGAAGGTAGAAAAAGCACTGTTCTGAGTTAGCTTGAATGTTATCTCTAACTTCCTAATTCCTAATTTTTTAATGACAATTCCTATTTCAAATGAGATAGCCACAGATATATAAACACCTCGTGAAAAATTAAACACTTCAAAATTACTATGTATCCACAAAGAGTACCATTTTCCAGAAAAATCAATACATTTTAGAAATCTTGTTTAAGAAAGCTTACTATTTCCAAACTTTGCAGCATGGAGGGTGAAGTAGGGAAGTAGGGGGCAGTGTGCTTCTATTCAAAGAATATCATAACATTTCTTTTACTAATTTCTCTTTCTTTTCTTTTCAAATTTTTATTTAAATTTTAGTTAATGTATAGCTAATTTCTACTCTAATTCAATTCCTTTTACTCTCATCATCAGAAAATGTAAAACAACAGACAAAAATAAACTTTTAGGCAGCAAAATTTTTAGGCCCTACAGATGCATACATTTGGTTGTTGCGGAGACCACCTGCTTCTTTACGCAAGCACCCCCTCCCCCATCTCTTGCCCCACCAGTGCATTTCTCCTTCACAGTAGTGAAACAGCTGTAAAGGTTTCCTCACTTCATAGCCCTTTAATTTTTTTTTTTTTTTTTTTTTTTTTGAGAGAGAGAGAGAGAGACAGCATGAGCAGGGGAGGGGCAGAAGAAGTGGGAGAGAGACAATCTTAAGCAGGCTCTGCACTGTCAGTGCAAAGCCCAGACGTGGGGCTCAATCTCATAATCATGACATGAGCCGAAATCAAAAACAGACTATCAAAACACCTCACCTACTGAGCCACCTCACCTACTGAGCCACCAGGGTGCCTCAGCCCTTTAACTTTCTTTTCCACAATGGCAGACTAAGGGGTACGAGCTCTGCCTGCTTGGGATTATCTCTCTGCCCCTGTTCGCAAGCACCCACTTGCTCTTTCTCAGAAAGAAAGAAATAAACTTAAAAAAAAAGTAAACTAAATGGTTTTGTTCTATCTTTGGTTTGGCACTTTTTAACAATGTTATAATATCACATACAGAAAGTCTTCAAAGATAAAATCTTATTTTTAACTAACCTTTTCCATTGATGTATTTTACTTACTAATTATACACAAAGTTACTGACCCTAAATGCTAAATGTTTTCCCTCAAATAGAAATCAAACCTCCCCCTCACAATATAATATTTATATTGGAATTATATTCTTCAAAATAAAAAAAAGATACAAATCTGGCAACTTACCAGATATTTTAAAATATATCCCACAAAAGTAATCTCAAGATATATATATCTGTGCTAATACATGTCTTTTTCTTTCAGTGGAAGCAACTCTTTATAAATAGACAGAATGACGTATTTTCATCCTAAGAGACTAATTTACTGTTATAAATTCCACTGACTGCATGTCACTGTAAAAACCCAGTGACAATTAACATTTTGAAAATCAAACTATACTTAGAATGATTTTAGTTGATTGTTATTGTTCAGGATACACATTACATACATAAAAAAGCAGCTATGCGTATGTGTCATTCATTTTAGACTCCACCAAAAACCACACAAAACCAAAAAACTAGATAGAAAAGAATTAATGACACTATTTTGTATGACAAACCACAAAGGGACTTCTAATGTTTGTTAACTACAGTAGTTTCAGTATCTATCAAAAAACAAAACAAAACAAACCTTACATTTTTTCAAATTTCATAATTAGAGAATTCTAACATAGCATAAAATTTCTGCCCTAAAATTCACGTCTAGCATTAGATGAAACATTTAATCAAATTTTTTTACTTCTGAATAAAGGGCTTACTCAGTAACAATAGATCTAAGCCACGAGTGAACTGCCCAAGCCCTTCATTTACACTCATGTCTTTAACTCATTCTTTTATTTCCATGATCAAAACAAACACTTTCTTAGGACTCTCCCCTTGAATACTGCCTAGACTTTCCTTTTTTTAGACCATGTGATTTGAGAGTGGGTGGGTAAGAGAACTGAGATGCAAGGGCTAGACAATCATCTAATTTCTATCACTAGTTAAATGACTGGCTCCCACAAATACAGATATAAATACTTACACCCCAGCAAATAAAAAACTACTACGTCATAAACTTCGCGATCAATCCTAGAAGCAGAAACTGAGTAAGGGTCTTCTATACTTATGGGAGTTGACATCAACAGCATGATAAGACATCAACAGTATTATAAATGGTCTCTTCATAAGAAAACTACACATGGATCTGATTTACTGGACTAAAAGACCATTATATTCCTATGCTTCTGCATGGACAACCAACACACATCTTGGATGCAGAATTTCAGCTTCCCAAAAATTAACTCAAAATGAATTAAAGATTAAACGTAAGGCCTGAAACCATGAACTTCCAAGAAAAAAACACAGGAACAAAGTTCCTTGACATGAGTCTTGGTGATGATTTCTTGGATACGACACCTAAACCACAAAAAGCTAATTAAAAAGTAAACAAGTGGGATTATATCCAACCAAAAAGCTTCTGCATGGCAAAAGAAACCATCAACAAAGTGAAAAGTACACTACAGAATGAGAAAAAAATATTTGCAAACCAGGTATGTGAAAGGGACTAATATCTAAAATATATAAAGAACTCATAAAACTCAACTGCAAAAAAATTAAATAACCCAATTAAAAAATGGGCAAAGGACCTGAACAGACATTTTCCCCCTTGTGCATTGTTGGTGGGATTGTAAACTGGTACAGCCACCATGGAAAACACTATGGATGATCCTCAAAGAGGGAAAAATAGAACTACCATATGTCCAGTAATTCCACTTCTGGGAATATATCCAAAGGTAAGGAAAACATTAACTTGAAAGGATATCTGCACCCCCCTGTTCACAGAAACATTATTTACAAAAGCCAAGACATGGAAACAACCTAAGTGTCCATCAATTATTGAATGGATAAAGAAGTTGTGGTATACACACACACACACACACACACACACACACACACACACACACAAACACACACAAACAGCAATACTATTCAGCTATGAAAAATGAGGAAATCCTACCACTTGTGACAACATGGATGCACCCTGCAGGCATTATGCTAAGTGAAATAAGTATCACAAAGAAAAACAAATACTGTATGATTTACTTATATGTGGAATCTAAAATAAATAAGAAAATGAATAATAAAAATAAATTCATTAAAAAAAAAAAAAAAAAAAGGATCAGACCTGTGATTACCAGAGGTAGGGGTTTGGAGAGGGGGGAACTGGAAGAAGATGGTAAAAGGTACAAACTGCCAGTTTTGTACTGGCAAAAAAAAGCACTAATGATGTAATGTACAACATGATGACTACAAGAAACACTGCTGTACAGGATATACAGGAAAGCTGTTAAGAGAGTAAATCCTAAGAGTTCTCAGCACAGAGAAAAATCTCTTTCTATATTCTTTTCTTATGGTATCTCTATGAGAAGATGGATGTTAACTGAACCTTCTGTGGTAATCATTTCCAAATATACCTAAGTCGAACCATCATGCTATACATCTTGAACTTATACAATGATGTATGTCAATTATTTCTGAATAGAACTGGAATGCATTTTCTAAGTAAAATTTTTTAAAAATTTACCTTCCAAAGTAATTAAAGAACAAAGTCTGACAAAAAGAAGACTTTCTTTGTTTGCAGAAATGTGCCTACCAAGTAAGATCCTGTTGAGGCTCAACACATTACCAGCCATCTGTCTGAGTCAAGAAAATAATAATAAGCAAAACCTAACGACTGCTCCTACAGAAGTTTTTCTTACAGAAAACCTTTCCGACCCTTGGCCTTCCATGAAGTCACTGCAGGTGGTCTACCTGGATATCTAAGGACCTTTCTAAAGCAAATCTTCCGTTGATAAATAATTCCAAGCAGCTGTTAACATTTCTGCCCCGAATGCCTCCTGATTTTGGTCTTGACAACATAATATAACAAAGCATAATTTTACATGGTGTGTTACAGATACCTTCTAATATCCAACATCAAACAGTGAAAATCTTAAGAATCCACTTACTGCTACACCAGCATGATAACTTGTCCCACAAGCAATAAGAATCAAACGCCGACACCTCTGGATCTCCTTAATGTGATCCTTCAAACCGCCCAAATTCACTGAAATAAAAGTTTGTGTATATAATTATTTAGGAAAGAACCATATTGAAATAGGTAATCACTTTTCATGAGTGTCCACAGCCAATCTGGGAACAACACTACCATTTTAAAGAATTTCCACGCCTCTTGGGAAGCACAGTTCTGAATGGTTTCTAAAATGAAATTAAATAGGTCACAACTTAACTGTCTCCCCCAAACTTATAACTAACCTCACCCCTCCGGGATCCCACACACTTCTGGTTTTATCACACTCTACCCTGTTTGGTCATTTTTCCATTCCTCTCTTCAGATTAAAATTTCTCTCAAAGGCAAAAAACACAGGACACAGATGAGATCGCTAGATGGTGATGGCTGGGGTGGGGAAGGAGTTGGCCACAAAGGGGCATGAGAAGGTTTCTAGGGTGATGGAACCGTGCTTCATCTTGATGGCTGTAGAGGTTATGGTTACGATCATGTTGTGGAAGTTTGTCAAAACTCAGAATTATACACCAAAAATGGTGAATTTTATTATATCTACTTATATCTCTTCAAGCTACCTGGGAAAACACTTAGTTACATTAGTTTCCCACACAAACAGTGCTCCCACCCAGAACAGTGCACTGAACACAATATAAAACCCTCTCCTTTCAGTCCTTCCCATCTCAGTAAATGCCACCCCCAAGCACCCGATGGCAGTGCCCCTCGACTGCCCCTATCCATCCTCACATCCATCCCCAGCAGGTCCTGTGAGCACACCTTCAAAAGGAGCCTCTAATACCATCATGTGGTCTAACATCTCTGCCCCAGACAAGAGCAACGCTTTCCTAACTGCTCTCTCTTCTACCCCCACCTCCCAGAGCCTGTTCTCCACACACAGAATAAAACCACCTTGTAGAGTGATTCTTTAAAACCATAAAGTGATCTCAAAACCTTCCAATGAGTCTGTCTTCTTTCTGTCTCTATAGCTATTTATGTGTTCTTCTAAGGGCTTCTTGTGTTAGAAATACTTCAACGAAAAGCTACTTTTCTACCTATGAGAAATTTTCATTCAACGTCCATTCCATTATTCAACTAATATTTCCTGAGCACCCACCAAGTGAATTTGCTACCCAAGATACTGTGGCTACCAGAGTTCAGGGCAGTTCAGGGGATGGCTGAGAAGACAGACCTGCACACCACCGGGCAGCATTCTCTGCGTCTGACGCTTTTTTCTGCACACTTTTTTCTACCTTACTTGGACATAATGTAAAACCAAGGCATATGTTTTGCTTTTTATTTCTCTGAATAACTTTATGTTCTCCTTTTTAAATTTCAGTACTGAGAGGGTGTATTATATTTCTCCATTTAAAAAAAAATCAGCAAATTGGAAAATAAAATAAAACCACAAAAAGCTTCAGCAGCTTCCCAAGTAACTTGGAATAAAATCTAAACTCCTTATTATGGCTTCAAGTGCCCACATGTCCCGTCTCCTGCTTAACTCTGACCTCATCTCCTAGTACTTTCCCTCCCACCCTGGCCGCTGCAGCCAGACTGACCTCCTTGTGGCTTCTGCACTAGACAAAGGTTCGTGCACCTCTGCCTGCAGAATTCTTCCACAGACCTCGGCATGTATTGGAAAGGTCTGGGAAGAAAGCACAATATCAAGAGGTTGTGTTCAGGTCATCCAACGGCAACAGTATGAAGATGACTCAGTATAAAAGCAGAGAGACTACCAGGGAGACTTGTATTCCAGATGACCAATGACAGGGAAATAAGATGGTAAGATCAGCTGCCTGACAACTCGTTCCCTAAAAACTAGCAAATTCCCTGCTGGCTGAGGGAGGTTTGAGGTAGTTCTGGAAGGAGTCATCCAAGGTCCGAATGGATGATGCTTTCGAGAGAAGCCTAATTCTAATAAGGTAGGCCATGCTACTAGAAGCAATAAGAGTGCCCGGAAGACCGGAGTAGGGATGGAGCATTTCAAGATCACCACTGGACACCGAACCCTAGTCCGGCTCCGAAAGGGACCAGCAATGTGACCTTTCGCAAGACACTCAAACTGACAGAGCCTCAATTTCCTTGCCTTGATAAAAAAAAAAGTTAACAGCTATCCTGTTTGTATTACAGAACTTTTATGAGGAACATAACATTGAGAAGAGTGCTTTTTAAAATCATGAACTTCTCAGGGGCGCCTGGGTGGCTCAGTCGGTTAAGCGTCCAACTTCAGCCCGGGTCACGATCTCGCGGTCCGTGAGTTCGAGCGCCGCGTCGGGCTCTGTGCTGACAGCTCAGAGCCTGGAGCCTGCTTCCGATTCTGTGTCTCCCTCTCTCTCTGCCCCTCCCCCGTTCATGCTCTGTCTCTCTCGGTCTCAAAAATAAATAAACGTTAAAAAATAAATAAATAAATAAAATCATGAACTTCTCAAAGTTTATCTCACTGTCTTCCTTTATGAATTAAATCTTTTCCCCGATCTTCCTTCCATAAATACCATAAGGCGGTCCTTACTGCGACACCCCAGTCCTTCCAGTGCAACCACCTTTAACAGCCCCACACTGGCAGACGCAGCTCCCGTTTCTCCCCTCTCCTTCCCCTCGCTTCACCCTGGACGGAACAACACCCGAACTGGTGACTGCTTTTCGGCCTCTCGTCCCTCCAGTGCACACTGTAGACTGGTACCCAGTTCAATCCAGTGAAGCTCTATCACCCTGGTTTCTAAGCCTCCTGCTAGCTCTACAACTTCTACACGAGGCGGTCCCCCTGCACCTCCCACTTTAGAGCATTCCAGGCCCCCCTTGGCAGCTCCTCCCACCTTCTTTCCCAGACTTAATGTTCCTTACTCTGCTTCAAGTGTTAGATGTGGACAACTGGACTACACGTTATTCCGCCAACAGCTTGCTGATGGTTTTCCACTATCTCCCCTTCAGCTAATGCTGTTCTTTCCAACTGCAAGGCTCCCACGTCATCTCCACCTATTTAAACCCTTCAGATCTTTCAAACTCATGCCTGCCTGCTTCATGAGGCCTTCCCTGGCCCCAAAGCCCCTAGCCACAGACTGATTCATTCTCTACTCCTAATTCAACATTAAACTTTGTTTCTAATGCCAGGTATCATATTTACCTTTCTTTAAATACTTATATATTCACTCCGCTTCTAGACTTATAAAAACCTCGAAGAGGAGACCATATTAGAAATAATTTCCCTATAGTCCCTGTTATGTTCAGCATGGTGTCCTGAACACAGATGTTGAGTTTATAATTCAGCTTCAACAAATCTCTCCTGTTGAGAAAGTCTGACGCTGCTCAGAAAAAATAAAAAAATAAAAAAATACAGAGACAGCATTTACTCAGAGAATTCAATCAATTAACAGGACACAGCATAAAGAAGACACTTAATACCGTCCATATGACACACGGATTTGGGAACAGATCTTTTGCACACTAGCTATTATTTCTCAAAAACTAATTAATGCTAAGAAGCTTAGCCCAGTTGGCTTGTTAAACTGTTTACTAAACTGTCATGATGAACGAGCAGTGTTCCAAAAATGTGATTTCACAATAAATAGTTTATCTTCTGACCACAGAGAGTCCATCTCAAACTCATCTATGCAAGGTGTGCACACTCGTGTGACACAAGGTCCAGACAGAGTGTCCAGAAATACGACCAGAGTGGCACTCTCAGCTCTATCTTAAACAGGCAGAAAGGTACGGGTTTTCTCAAAAGGCATTAAGCAGACACCCGGAAAACCTGTGAGGAAGTTCACACCTTCACTCATCTAGAAACTGGTAAGAGAAAATCTAGGCTGAGCACATACATGTAAGCTTCCCAACGAGAGGAGAACCAGTGCCCAGAACAGTCCTTGGTATATGGCAAGTGCCCATTAAAGGTTTTCTGAAGTGGAAGGAAGTTCAATGTTTTTAATTATACACTAGAGGACTCCCCCTCCCCCCCCCCCGCAGGAAATTCACCCTAATACTCTTTTAACTGACAACTTTCAAATGTGACTTTCCAGCCATTTGTTTTTACATTTTTTATAACCACCTTATTGAGATGTCACATACCATAACATCTCCCTTTTAAAGTGTACAAATAGTGGGTTTTAGTATATTCCCAGTTGTGCAACCATCACCACTACCGAATTTTAGAACATTTCATCACCTGCCCCAAACCCCATCCCCATTAGCAGTCATTCTCCACCCCCTCCCTTCAGCCTCTGGCAACCATTAGTTATTATCTCCCCTGTTTTATTGTGGTAAAACACACAGAACATAAATTTAACATTTTAACATTTTTTAAGGATTCAGTTTAGAGGCATTAAGCACATTCACACTGTTGTGCGACCATCACCGCCATCCATCTCCAGAACTTTTTCATCTTCCCAAACTGGAACTCTGTACGCATTAAGTAACAACTCCCTCTTTGTCCACTCTCCCTGCCCCTGGTAACCACTAATCTACCACCTGTCTCTATGAATCTGACTATTCTAGGTATATCTCCTATCAGTGGAATAATACACTGAAGGACTTTTGAAGGATGATTGGACTCCACTGATGGCTGTAGTCACAGTTTTCTATAAAGCTATAAAGGACAATGAACTTTCAGGCTGCCAATGTCAAGCCCCACAGAAGACTCCGAAATAATAACTCGCATGTAGTTACCAGTATAGTCGTCAAAGTTGACTCTTCCTCTCATCGTGTTTACGACGGACTCTGGCTGCTCAAAAATTTCCTTCTGCATAAATGAACTGAAGTTGCCTAAAGTAATATAAATTACATCATTAAAATAACAAATTTGTACACAACTAAAAGTCTGCCTCCTGTAACATCATCTTAGTAAATGAAAAGAGGGCTCATGCATTAGAGTACAATATTCACATATGACATTTTACCCTATGTGAAGAAAAATAAGCAAGTAAGGAGGAAAACTCACTTTATTAACTTCATACCTAAAATACGAGTGAGAGCAAAACAGGGAGTGGGAAGCTTAAGTTTTAGAGTCAGATCTAGGTTTAAATCATGGTTCTATCCTTTACCACATAAATGGCTCTGGGGAAATTCTTTATAGTAAGAACAGCAACTACTTCACAGCATTGTCATGTGGATTAATATAGGAAAGACCTGACATATAGCAGTTATGCAATAAACGTTAGCATTTATCCCACCTCGACCCCATGACAAAGGAGGAGAATAAAAACCACGATGGCAATAATCATTAACAGTTAACAAGAGCAAACAGTACGTAGGGCTCACTAAGCATGTCAGGCACTGTTCTGAAGGCTTTACATAAACTAATCCTCAAAACAACCTTAACAAGGTAGGTCCTATTTTCCTCCTTCTGTAAAAGAGAAAACTGAAGCACAGAGGGAGTAAGAGAGGAATAAAGAACAGAACACAAACTATGCTTATGAAGTATCTTAAAAATATCAAGAACCATTTCAATGACCAATCCGTGTTTTTAACATCAAAAACAACAAACCATGAATTAGTTTGAAGGACAACTACTTTAAGACCAGCAGATAATTTTCCAAAGAAACATCCCTTTCCCTCGTGTTATCCCCTCACTCATCATGTGGAAGGTTTCAGTCAACACCGTGTCTCCTTCCCATTAAGAACACCAAGCTATAACACGACAAAAACTTTCACCCTTCATGATCTGCTGGAGTTCCATCTGGAGGGTTTGCACAGCTCGTCCAGGGTGATCTCCTGCAGTTCGTTTAATTCGATGGATAGAAAGACGGCCGTCCACCACCGCTGCAACATCATCATCTTCAAGAAAGATGACGCGATTGGTATGTTCTATGACAGCACTATAAAATGTTCAAGGAGATAATACAATCAACAATCAAGGATGATTATTACAAATAAAACTATCATCAAGACACAGAAACCATGGTTAAAATACAAACCTATCATCCTGGAGTATCTCTGTTAACTTTCTGGTTACCAAGGCCATTCCCTACAGGGCAGTGGGCAGTTAACTAGGGACAATGAATAAAAGGATCTCTGTGCAACACCCTAAACCAAATTAAATTAGATCAGATCAGAAAGCATGGCTATTTCTTCCTCATTCTATCACCAAATCCTCCAATTTTAACTCCTAAATATTTTTCAAAGCTTCTATGTCCACCACCACAAACCAGTTCAAGCTACCATCAGCTCTTGGCTAGACCACCATAGGAACCTGCTAACTTATCCAACCACATGCCCTCTAATCTCCCTCCATCTGTTTTCCATTTCTGCCAAAATGAATGTCAAAAGGCAACTCCAACCAAGATTTCTCCCTCACCCAACAAAACACTTGATGGCTTCCCTTTGGCTCTTCAGAAAACCACAAAGCACAAGCATGACCCCACTTTCTTCTCTAGCCTCCACTCCCACCAAACTTCCTCTCTCTATGCCAGCCACACTGCTACCCATCCTGAGTTCTCACATACTGATCAATTCACAGAAAGTGAATGTTCTTCCCTCTACCTCTTCACCTAATCGACTACTAATATGTTTTTATCTCTCAAGTGTCATTCCCTTACAGAAATTTACCCATAGGAGTGTAAGTCACCCTGGTATAGGCATTCTGTAGCTCTTGTCACAGGTGGAATTCTACACTTGTGTGACTGATTAAAATTTGTCTCCTCCAATAAGAAAGAGCTCCTTAAGGACAAGTTGTGTGTGTGTGTGTGTGTGTGTGTGTGTGTGTGTGTGTGTGTCTGTGTGTGTGTGTGTGTGTGTTTAAGGGTTATTTTATTTATTTATTTTTATTTTCTTTTATTTTTTGAATATCTCCACCCCCAACATAGGACTCAAACTCACAAACCCGAGATCCGGAGTCGAATGCTCCACCGAATGAGCCAGCCAGGCACCCATGGGACAAGTATATTTTTATTTTTACTCACCATTATCTCCTATGCCTACCACATGGCTTTGCTCAGAGTGTTCAATATGAGTGTCTGAGCGAACGACAAAAGGATAAGCTTCTGCAATTTCTAGTTTAAGCCATAACTGTCAAGTCTGACCAACCTACTTAATGACAACAATGAAGCATCCCAGCACTAACTAACCACCTGCAAAAATTAGGCAACAGTGAAGCCTGTTCCCCCACTGAGACAATGCATTCCCGGCATGATCTAACCTGCGACCTATCTCATCGTTAGATCCCCTTAGGGCACAACAAATGACTCCAAATACTTGTTGGCAATGTGAACAATTCTGCTTTATCCTCATCACTATTAGTATTCCGTTTATAAATGCATCTAAGCATCCCACAGTATTTTTCACTCAAAATGTCTTAGTCTAGTACTATTTCTTTTATAAAAGTGATTATAATCCATATTACTTCTGAATTAAAAAGGTGAGTGTCCTTATTGGACTAAAACTACAGCGGTTTAGCAACTATACTGTAACTGGTGGGACACTAACCCAGTCTATTCTAAATTCCAACCTAAAATCTCTCCTCCCTGTAAGACCTGGCTAAGGCTCCAAAAAGAAGACAAAAAATATACAAGATATCAGTTAATATGCTAGAACAAGTCTCAAGTACTGTTATCTTTTCTTGGAAAACTGACCTACATGCTTTGAATTGAGAGAAAAAATTTTCTTAGGACGCCCATTTCTAAAAAGGGCACCTATATTTCCCTAATTGACAAAATTCTCTTACACAGCATAACAAGATATACACAAAATGACTTCTGGTTTCTATAACATGAAAAGTTTTGCTAAGATTCTCTGAATCAAGGAAGGAAGTTCACCTTGCATCAGATGCAAAGTAATATTCCACTGCTTTTTCTTCAACAGGGAAAAGGCAAGTTGTGCTGTCCACACGAGAGAGATTACAGCTTCCTTTCTTGTCCTTCCCTAGAGCACAGAGGTAACACAATCAGCAAACATGTAGATCACGGCCAATATAGAAATACACATAATTTTCTTCAAAATCAACAAAACAACATAGCAACACAAAATAATTTCAGCAATTTAAAAATGCTAGGTAGGTCACCTTATTTCCATGCAATAAGCCAACAAGAACAGACAAAAAGTGTAGAGTGAAATAGCAACTATCAAAGAGAGCGTGGCAGATAAGTGTTACATTACAAATGTTTTAACTGTTTCTTTTCCAGGTAAAAGGCAAATAATTCACTAATATCACTAACTCTTTTTTTCAAATCAAAAGTATATATAGGCCTAATCTTAATTTAACCTTATACATAACTTGACAGAAGTTTGTGTACCTAAACTTATCATAAAAATTACATTAAAAATGTCAAAATTATGCAATGAAAAATAAAGTGAAGACTAGTGGCATACTAATTTTTTACTATCTGATAACAAAACTTCTCTAGGTTTTAAAAGTCAGCATAACAAATCAGGTTGCAGTCTACACTAATTCTGATTTTAAAACAAAGATACTTAAAACTCTCTAACCATGGTATACCATATATAGCACCTACTGCTAAGGACTGGAAATATTATAAAACCAGAATCTCTTCTTTCTTAAAATTGGATTTTCTTACGTTTCTTGTAAGTCAGGATAAAATACGATCCTTCTGCAATAATAATATACTTTTTTTTAAGAGATACAAGTTTATTGAATACACTAAAAAGGACCAGTGGGCAGGACAGCAAAGGAGAGACTAGCTGCCTGCAATAATATCCTTTTAAATCTAGAACTTTAGAATTATGGCATCTCTACTTAACATGTCAAGTCGTGAATGAATTTTTTTTCCTTTTTGCCCATTCACAACTAAAGTCAAAACTGGAAAGCAAAGTGAAGTCTGACACATTAGAAAGACTTTTTTTAAAAATCACATAAATTAAAATCTATATTAATGTCAGAGAGACAAAAAAGCACCTTTACCTGAGATCAGGACATACCAGACCTTATAACCTACGGACACAACGGCCAGAGGACACTATAAATATACCTGCAAAAATTCATATTGTGTCTGTCGTCTAAAATGCATGTCTATAAAAGACTTGCTTATAATTATTCTTAGAAATGCACATCCAGGAGCGCCTGGGTGTTCAGTCAGTTAAGCATCCAACTCTTGGTTTCGGCTCAGGTCGTGATCTTGTGGTTTCGTGGGTTCGAACCCCACATCAGGCTCTGCACTGGCAGCATGGAGCCTGCTTGAGATTCTTTCTCTCCCTCTCTCTCTGCCTCTCCCCAACTCGTGTTCTCTCTCAAAAAATAAACTTAAAAAAAAATTTTGTAAAAATGTACACCCAAAGTTCTCCACAATCCATGCTTATTTGGTGTGTTTCAGACATGAAAATAAAACAGCCCTTTCCATCCAAATTCAACAGCAAAAAGATATTACACTTTAAAAAATACGTGTAAGGTGACATCCTAGAGAAAGTAATGCTACAGAAGGGTAAAGCAGATTGGTGTTTGCCAAGGGCTGGGAATGGGTACAAGGAAGGGCTGGCTACTGAGCTACAGCTGGAGGGAACTTTCACAGGACAGGATTGCTCTATACTTTGATTGTGGTGGTTATACAACCACTGGCACTTGACAACACTCCTGAAACTGCACATCAAAAAGAATGAATTTTACTGGTGTAAAAAAAGTGAATCAAAAAACACGCAGAAGGATAGCCCAGCACCTACATTTTCAAAATAAATACAACCAGTTTTGGTTATAAAATGCCCTAAAGGTATCAAGTTTCACTATACTCCTTCTCCAAATGTCATTCTTTGAGTGACAAGGCATATTTAATTGTATTATTTAGAAGGATTTAAGATAGCATTGCCTATTTAAATGAAAAAAACATTTACCACTTGATACCTATACAACTGTTACAATCTATAAAATGTTTTGCCGTACAATTATCTCATCTGATTTGAGTGGCACACAATTATGACCATCCCCTTTATTTTGTCCATTGTTACACCTGGAGAAAATAGCAAAAGCCTAAAAGCCATCCCGTGTTCTCCCCTTTACACAGCCTCTTCAATAAGAGGCTAAACTCTTTAAATGAAACCTTGCGGAGCCACACGTTATCTACATACTAGCAACCAGAGAAATAAAGGTCACTAAAATACAATGCCTGATCTTAAATACAATGTCTCATGATAAGTTTCTCGTCTAACTTCTTAAGACCTTAGCCAATGTTTTTCCGTTATTTCTAAAAGCAGTCTAAGAAAATGCGCAAGATAATAACACAAAGGTAATGTATACAGGAGCAGGATTATTAACAGAAATCTGCAACTCTGGATCCAAAATTCTATACCCTCATTGGTAAACTAGTTTTTCTTCTGAAAAGGGAAGGAGAGGGAGGAGAATGTAAGAAGAAATCCTACCATTTCAAGGTCGAAGGCTATTTAAGGAAGTAACTTTCTGCTTTAGATAAAAAAGCTAAAGCAGCCACTATCTAAAGATGAAGAGGTTTAGAGTCCTTTGCTATTTTTTTTTTCAAGAAACCAAGAATTGTACATTAATAATATGGGTTTCAATTTTCCGAATTTACCACTCCCTATCTTTTACATGGAAAGCTTTTAATAAGTAAATGAAAAGAGCATGCCATTTTGGGGGTCTAATTATATCAATAAAATGATCCATAGTTTGTATGGCTGAAAGTCCTATAAAAAAATAATAAACTTCAAACATAAACAATAAAAAAGACTCCAATTTCAAACAAAGCAATCAAGATGTTGAATACAAATCTAAAAGGAAAGTGTCATGCATAAAATAAAGACCATTTAAACATAATTTTATGAGAAGTTAGGATACAGTATTCAAATAACTACCACTGAATTCAATCTACAATAGCCTAACACACAATGCTCTTTTCTCAATGTAAGCATCTTACTTATAATAATGTATCTTACGTGATTTCAACTTAAAACAAAAAAATAAATTTTATAATTTCAATCTCAGAAATTTTAAAGAAACAAATTATTAAAAGCAGTTTTCTAAATGCCAAAAGCAGACAGACAAAATATACTCTGCAAATTAGAAAAATGTCAAAATATGTTTCCCCATTAAAAAAAGCACATTTTTAGAGGCCCAGCACATTCATTCACTCCAAGAACAAAGAATTAGTAAAGAATGAACAAAAGAGGGTAAGATTCCTCCCCATCCATGCAGAGTGCATTTCCCACCTCTTTCTCCCTGTGATCCCCACCGTGAGAATTTTGATCCAATCTGAGTCCTAGCTAAGGATATACAACAGAAAAAAATTCTACTCGTCAGAGAAATTACAACAACAAATCCTTTTCATGTCTAGACAGAACTACATATACATATGTGTGGATCTAACCAAAGAGGCATTCATTTCAATTTAATGGAAACAATTCTTTATATCTACTGCACTCAATTTATACAGTTTCCTCATGGCATTATGTAAGATTAATTTTTACCTGTTCTGTAGAGAATCGGAATGTGATCAGTAGAGAGTTTATGTTCACTTCGTACACCAATCAAGAGAGGGCTACCTCGTCTGTTGGTGCAAAATTAAGACAGAATTAAGCCATTTTCATAAATAATGCACTGATACAAATTTTAATGAACCAACATTCTTCAAATAATGTTTAAACTATGCCTCCAGGCTCGACTTCAGGTATAACAAAAGCACAGCATAAACAGAATTTGCAAATATTAGGGCTTCTCACTGTTCTAAAAAGAACATCATGATCAGGCCTAAATATCCTGACAAAAGTAGTGATAGTACAATTCTCTAGGAATCTGTTTAGGATGTATGCTTCCAAAAAATAGGGAAAGTTAAAGTTGGGGGCCTGAAATTAGAGAACATTCAATATCCAAATTCACAAAGTAACCACAGTGTCCCACTAGAGACAAAGGCCAGTTAAAAATGCCAAAATATATTTGCTTTGTGAAGGGGTTCTGTGAAATGGAAGAGTGGTGAAAAATGGATAGTGGTGAAAAATAAACATCGACATATGGCATGCAGATCTAGGAAAGGGCAAGTCTTTACAGTAAAGGTTAACCATCATGTACAGAGAATACACTTATAATTCAAATGTTTCAAAATGCATACAATCATTAGTCATTATTAAATCTGCATGTACCTCGTGCCAACTGCTTGGCCAGGAAAATGAACACTTTTAAATACCAGTGCAAAAGCACCTTCCTATAAAGAAAAAAAATACATTAGCGATATTTATTACAACCAATTACCAAAATGTGAAATGCCTAAAACATACTGGCTTCAGCACAGAAATTTTTTGTTCACATGCTGCTCTTTTTAAAGTTAAAAACAAGTCTAAATTTTAGGTAGACACTCATTCCTGAGCTTTGGTGTATCCAAGACACTTTTTAACCAAGCCCACTCTTGAAATACACTCAGTAGATAGTAGCTCCAAAACAGACTATTACTTAAAACACTATTTTAACACACTGTCAACACTTTTCAATAGATACATCCTATCTCGGATGTTAGAGTGCAAAGAGGAGAGAATTAGAAAAGACCCCTAGCTCAATATCCAAAAACATTCTCTGGTCCAGTGATTTTATACCACTGTTAACCTCCATGCTTGTTGACCTTGTTACTAGAGATAAAAATATACACCATCACAATCATTAACATGCACACCATACCACTCCCTCAATCCAATCTCCTCAGGGACAGGACCTAAGGAATTCAGGAGTGAATAAAGAAGGAACAGGAGGTAGGAGAGATAAGGGACCACCAAAGAACACAAACTGGGTTATATAATGAATAGAAACAAGAAAAGGCTGGAAAGGCACAGTACTCTGTCTTGAGTAAAGAGAAGGAACAAGCCTCTATTTTCTCCATCTTCCTGACTCCTCCTTTTGTTGCAGACATCATAAGATTTGGGTAGAAGGAGGAAGTGAGGGCTGGACCTTCAGAGAAAAGTGAAGGGCTTTTAAATGAGAAAGCTAGAGTTATGAGTGGGGAGGACAGTAATCCCTATGCCTTTGGATTTTTGTGGGTCTCTGATATCCTTAATCTTTAACTAGGACAACTGAGACGGGATCAAAAAGAATGCCATTTTTTTTTTTTCTTAAGCTGGGAAATACTTTTCTATAGTGTTACAAGGCCAAGGAAAAATCCCCATAAGGAAAAACACAGAATTGACTATACTGGCTCAGAGACATGCAGACATTATACCAGAACAGAGTGTGCATTTCACTGAAGCTACCCTTGTGCTAAGTTACTGACTGAGAAGAACATTTGAGTGAGTAGGAAGAAAGTGATGAACCCCTGAATGCATCTATTGTGTACATGTTTGTGTGTGGTATCTATGGGTTTGTGTGTTTTTAGAAAAACTCTTTGATTTTGGATTATTTTTAATTCTCATGACACAAACTACTGAAAAAGTAGAGTTTTAAGTGTGTGGGAAGGGAGTGGTCAGTCAGAGTCCCTCGAAATTATTCAAGTTGAAGAGCACCTTCGGTGGCTCAGTCAGTTAAGTGTCTGACTTTTGATCTCGGCTCAGGACATGATCTCATGGTTCGTTGAGATCAAGCCCCATGTTGGGCTCTGCGATGACAGTGGAACCTGCTTGGGATTCTATCTCCATTCTCTCTGTGCCTCTCTCTCTCTCTCAAAATAAATAAACTTTAAAAAAAAAACAAAAAACATTCTCAAGTTGAATAGTAATATATATATGGGAAAAGCCAAAAATACTTAAGAAATTAGCACAGTTCCTGCTTATCTTAAGAGTTTGTGATAATGTTGGCGATAATCTTAAAAAGCATGGTTTAGGGGCGTCCAACTCTTGATTTTGGCTCAGGTCATGACCTCACCATTTGTTGAGATAGAGCCCCGCATTGGGCTTTGTGCTCATAGCACAGAGCCTGCTTGGGATTCTCTTCCCTCTCTCTCTGTCCCTCTCCTGAGCTTACTCTCTCTCTCCTCGCTCTCTCAAAATAAATAAACAGATACATTTTTTAAAAAACTTAAAACTTATAGTTTAGGAGCACCTCACTGGATCAGTCTGTAGAGCATACGACTCTTGATCTAGGGATTATAGTTAAAGCCATCTTAAAGAAAAAAGTGTGGTTTAATACCAATTGTTGGATAACTCTCTCCACCAACGTAGTAAAACTGATGTCTTGACTTTCCCGGTTGTCATACATGTACTTAACAAGCTTGGCAATTGTCTCTGTGTCTGTTTCAGATTCAAAATCATAGCCTTTGCTTTCCTGTAATTAGAAAGGAAAAAAATTAACACATTTAAGAAAATGTTCATGATATCCAAATCTTTTCTACAGAATTTTTTTCCTCAAAAATTTCACTAACCAACTTCTAATATTTTTTGACCACCATTTCCCATTATCCATTGTTCAAAATGAAGGTCACCATCTAAGTATAGCAAACCCAAAACAGTGAAGTATTTTGTGCAACTGAATATGTGCTTTTAATTATATATACTTATATATGCCACATATAAATTAAGAAAATTATAGGGGCACCCAGGTGGTCAGTTAAGCTTCCAACTCTTGATTTCGACTCAGGTCGTGATCTCACAGTTCATGAGACTGAGCCCCACATCAGGCTCCACACTGTTAGATTCTCTTTCAATTTTCTCTCTCCCCCTGCTCCTGCTCTCTCAAAATAATTTTTGAGATTTTTTTTTTAATTTTTTTTTTTAACGTTTATTTATTTTTGAGACAGAGAGAGACAGAGCATGAACAGGGGAGGGGCAGAGAGAGAGAGGGAGACACAGAATCGGAAGCAGGCTCCAGGCTCTGAGCCATCAGCCCAGAGCCTGACGCGGGGCTCGAACTCACAGACTGCGAGATCAT